ATCTGGAACACTATAAGAAAGCAGACATTTTATCAGGAACACAAAAAAGACACATTGATTGCCTATGCGACAGCGCCCTCTGTTGGTAAAATATGAAAAGTGACACATGGGCCTCACAATTCCCTCTTCTAGATCTCCTTTGTACTTAACAACTTACGTAATTGCACTRACTCACGTAAGCTCTCACAAACATCCAAAAATTATAGTTGTACAAGTACAAATGCATTTATTATCAAATAAAGAAAGCAACCGCAACATCCTGTGACCAAATCCTTAAAAATTATTTTCATGCTTGAATCCCAGCCCACGCTCACACCCAGCAACGTTCTCRTCATGCTGTGTGCTGTGAGTCTTTTTTTTTTTTTAAAAAAGAGAACAGAATGGACTGCTAAGCAGGCAGAGCAAGCGCACAGCTCCCAAGGCCTCTGCTGTCACGCACAGACTTCCTGAATGTAAGAGTTCCAGATGTGCTTTAGGCATTTCCTGTCTGATTTTCTCAAAGAACACACACAGCCTCTCCTTACTGGAGTTGCTACATCTTTCCAAATCACTAACAAAAACAGCCCCCCCCCCCCAGTGCATACTCAGAAAAGGTGGTGGGGGTGGGATAACAACAACACACAAATGTCTGTATTTAAAAGTATGCATGTGCAGATTTTGTGTATTTATAAGAGGCATGCATTCACAGTTTAAAACTAAATATTTCCATCATCACGTGTTGTAAATTAGAATTAGCATTTTTGAGATTGTTTTGCTGTGGTGGCCATCTTCACTTGCACTAACTCCAAACGTTAAACAGCTGTAGATGAAAATTCAATAAAAATGTTCTCAGTTTCATTAAAACTTGTCCACTGGGTCATGAGATAATTGCTAACAGACAGACAAACATACACACACAAGCAAACACGTTATTGCTCATCTCCTTTGATGATAACTGGTCACACTGAAAAAGTCTTGTCTTGTAATCTCATACGGTCAGCAAAAACCCCAGCGTCGAGGTCCTCTTTAGTCAGCAGATGTCTGTCATCGGTGCTTCCGATTAGACTGTCCTGTTCTGTGAGGTCAGGGCCCAAACAGGAAGCCMTACACAGGGACGACCACTATAGATACAAGGTTGAAATAGTCCCCAAACAGGAAGAACCCCCATCACATCAAAGAGCCAAAAAAGATCTATTCAGGGTCCTAAATTTACACTTTTGTATTTGAGTCACAATAAATCTGATGAAACTTTCTGTAAATGACWGAGTAACTTCATTCTGGATTGTTTACAAGTTATCCTCCCAGGGTTATYAATGTGATCTCCAAACTCATAAACATTTCATTATTTTTTAGAACTTTGAAACATTTCAGGGTTTTTTTTGTTGATGTTTAACACCTTATTTTGAAAAAAAAATCTGAAACCATGAGGTGGATTCTTAGTTTAAAAAGTAACATCTGCATTTTTGAGCCAATTTATTTAATAGTAATCCAKTGGGATCTCAAAACATTAGCTGATTGTCTTTGTGTTCCCCATAGAACTGCTTGTTGATCACGTAACCACATACTGTCCACTTAATGTTAAACAAAATGCCCAATAAAACCTATAATAATTCAAGATAATGGAATAGCCATCAGCTTGTCAATTCTAAAACGTACTTCCTTTTCAAATTGAGTTTGGAAATAGATCTATGCATCTACCACAGGTAAGATATTTATAACCTTTTAAACAAAAGCCCACTTTAAAAGAGCTAAATTATTCCTTTGACCTGCTATTTCTTAAACTCAGAATAACATTAACATGGTGGTGGGTATCTGCTTTGAATGATATTAGCATTTAATTAAATGATTTGACATGTTGAACACATACAAATGAATTCAAAGCTGAAAAAAAAAGGCACAAGATGTTCTGTTTGCAGAACCTGAGAGACACACAGGTGATAGATAACCAGTCCATATAAGGCCCACAAACGCAGCTGTGGGTTTAGTGATCTCGTACCACACAGTTAACCAACAAGTAGCAAGCTAGGGATATAGAAATGTAACTTGTCCTCTTTAATGGAGTTATAGCTGTCCACAGTATTTATTAGTATTATCCATAGATCTCGTTTTCCACCCATCCCGTCTGACCGCAACAGCGCCGACTCTGACCTCTGCAAGTCTCGTAGATGTCATTGGTCACAAAGCCGCTCTCCTTGTCCGAGCATGTCACATTCTCATAATCYCCACACTGGGAGTCATGTGAAGGACCACAGGAGTATTTTTTCATGATCTCYGCTGACGTTCGGCAATCCAGAGGCAGTTTGGTGACGTCGCTGAAAGCATAAGGTCCCTGCACGGGGCAAGGTGAGGCAGCTGTTGACAGCCACTGCTTTGATCTGCTGGAGCAAYTTTCTGTTTCTGTCTTCCTCCTGAAAAGGGAAAAAGAGAAGATGAAATTTGTCACATYAAATGAGCAAATAAATTCCACATGCTGGCTCAACTTTTGTATTATATGTCAAACAGATGCAGGAGTGATTTTAAACTAAATCAAATGAAGTTTMATAGCTGCAATATTATCTTCCACTTTCTGTTTCTACCTTTTTGCATGTTGTCTGTAGCAGAAGAAACCGGCAGCTGCAAACAGCAGCAGTAGTAGGACAGGAATAGTGGCATAGAGGATGTAGYACACATAGAGAGGGGTTTCTGACAAAGATACTACAAAAAGGCAGATTATTTAGACTAATACAAATAGATACAAAAGGGCAAATCATTCTGCCATATTTTGGTTAAAAAAACTAAAGCATAAATAATTGAAGTGCTTTCTTTTCACCTGATGACTCAGGAAATCTGATTTCTATGTTATCATTACTTTTCGTAGTTGATGATATGCTTGGCCTCAGAGATGGGACTGCAGAAACAGAATTCAAACAAAGAAAATGAGATGAACATGACAATAATAATAATACTGAAACAATGTGCAATTCAACTTAGCAAAACAACAGTTTGAACTTTTTCTTTGTTAAAAGCAGAAATCATAAAGTATATTTAATCAATTCTGATGCACTTTATAATAACTAAACCTTATTTAGCTTTTTTATTCATTAATAAATAGTTAGCCAACTTTTAAAACACCATTATGG